CAGTTGCTGACATCACAGTCTTTCTGGGATCACTGATAGAACAATAATCACCAGTTACTGACATCACAGTCTTTCTGGTATGACTGATAGTACAATAATCACCAGTTACTGACATCATAGTCTTTCTGGGATCACTGATAGTACAATAATCACCAGTTACTGACATCACAGTCTTTCTGGAATCACTTATAGTACAATAATCACCAGTTACTGACATCACAGTCTTTCTGGGATCACTTATAGTACAATAATCACCAGTTACTGACATCACAGTATGCTTAAAAGTTATTGTTGTAATTTAAGCACTTAAGCCTCGAGGAGCAGACCTACAACTTATAAGTACCATATAAAACATATAAACAGTATATGATTAATAACTTCATCAATGTTGAAACAATTACTCGTGTTCAACAACTAAATAAATTATTAATAAATAAAATCAAACAGTTTTTACAACCATAACATAATTCCAGTCCTAACGATCACACTACCATTTCCAGTACTATAGGTCAACTACTTATGTGACGTATAGAAAATAAAAATATTCGTATATTATTTAATTTTTCAAAACTATAATTAGATATTATAGTAATTATAGTCTCAAACAAGATAAAAATTGTGTTAGAATATATTCCCATATACTGATAGAACTACGACCTAATTGTTATTTAATATTACTTTCATTAAGTATTTACCAAGTATAAAAATAATATGTACCAAATACAAACAAAATATAGTTATATTAATCTTGTTAAGTTTCAATTATGCTTCAGGAAAAACATTATGAACAGAAATTTTACAGTTAACAGTTAAAAAGATTTTCTGATATGGCTTCCTGGTGGCACGCTGATAAGTTTGAAGACTTATAACGCTGGAAATCGTGGCTCGATACCTATGAGGCATAAAGCACAGCCCAAGTTTTACACTTCATAACCAACAAACATATTGGAATTTCACAATGAAATAAGTATTCAATATAAGTACAAGAGAGTTACAAAACAAACAAAAAATATAATTATAAAATCGGGACAATTATTGTCACTGTAATGTTTACTATTTCCTTGGAATGTAATACAAATTTAATTTAATTTCAACTAAAATAAATGGAGTAGCAAACGAAATTGGTATATATTTGCGACTAAAATAAAAACGAATTCTGAATAAAAGTCAATGTTTCATTACCAGCGTAATAAAAGAAATATTTACAATATTGTTGATATATTATAAAAAAAAGTCACAAATTATAATTAGGGCTAAATATCGGTATCTATCAAAATTGTTTTTAATAAACGCAAAATATTATTACAAATAATAGGTGTGGTGAAGATTATTTCGTTTCCAAAAAACTGCATTGAAAATATTTTTCCTATGTTTTCAAATATAAACTATTTTGTTAAACCATTTAAGCTTTTACTGCCATCTGTTAACCAAAAAATTAATTGTAATGAAATTGGAGAGCATTTACCGCCATCTATTATCTGAAAAACTAACTATTTGCTGTAAGTGATTATTTCTTATTATTTTAAAATATGATAATAGATATCAGGCCATTGCTTTTTTATCATTATTCATTTGATTAAATATATGCAATAAAAGAAAAAGTTACAATTAAAGTATTATTCTAAGAAATAAACTAATCAAAATTCTTAAATCGAGAAAAAATAATGCAAAAATAATATTCGAAATTTTTTTATATCGAGATATTTTGATATATGTTATCTATAAACGTATTTAATTAATATGAATAGAGTTTAAAATTAAATTATTTCCAAATTTCATTAACAGACAGAACTAGAAAATAATTATCATACGTTGTATTTAAATACAAAATGCAATAAGAATTAATTCTGAATTGAAGTCACTGGTTCGTGTTAAAAATAATTTGATTTCAGAAATTGTTCTTGATTAAAACCGATTATTTATACTAAAGAAACTGAACAATATAAAAATTTGATGAAGAAAACAATGATATTTTATTAAGTAAAGTTAGTAAGTAATATTTATAAATGCAATTGAAAAAAAAATCCCTATAAACATTTTATGCTTGTAAAATGTGGTTCCCAACAAAGAAGCCTAAATAAGTTTGATTTAAATATACACAATACAAGTTGCATTTAAGTACTTTTATATATATTAATAGAGGTACGACCTAATTTTAAATAACATGTAAGATATATAAGCTTAAAATCCAGTTTTATTACTCATATTAATTTCCAATTATACTTTATCAAAAATATTAAAAACCGAAATTGTACAATTAGCAGTGTAAATTTTGCCCGATATGGCCCCCTGCTGGTTCATCGGTAAATCTGAAGATTTATAACGTCAAAAATCAAGGCATAATATCCGTGATAAGCGAAACATAGATAACCCAAGCTTTGGGCTTAACAACAAACAAGTAATGTGTTCGATGTGTAATTTCACAAATAAAAGTTTTCAATACAACTACAAGAGAGTTCAATTTTAAATAAAAGTCGATGTTTCATTATCACCGTGATAAAAAAAATATTTACAATGGGGAAAATATAAAATAGTTACGGGTTGAAATTAAGCCTCTATATTAGTATTTATGACAAGTGTATTTCAAATAAATGCTAAATATTATTACAAAATTGGCGTATTCCGCATTATTTAGCTTTCAAACAACTGCATTAAACATTATCTTAAATGTTTTTATTGTCGTCTGTTACCCGAAAAATATCTTTAATACAATTCGTTAGCTTTTACTGCCATCTATTAGTAAAAACACTAACTACTTTATGTAAATAGTTTATTATTATTTCAAATTGTGATATTGATGGTGAAAGTAGAAAATAAACAGAAAACTACCATTTCGGCAATAAAAAAACATGAAGGGTTGATATACCGGCTAAATAATTTATTGTATTTAAATCTGATGATAAACGGCAGCTCCAAATGTTACATATCAATAAATTATTTTGGCAATTATTGGCTTATAATAGATGAGAAATCAGTTTTCTTTTCTTTTACTTCATCAGATGTACGTAAGAAACGAGAAGTTTTAATTAAACTGTTTAAAAAATAAACTACATACACAATTGTTAGATCAGAAAAAAAGAAATTATAAAACAATATTCACAAAAGTTTTATCATAAGATTGGTACTCCAGAAAAATATGAAACTGTATATTTGGGTTAATAAAAATGATTAAAATGTTTGATATCTTAAATTTCAGGTTCAACAATTTTTCATTGTATTATACTTATGAAAAGTAGATTTATATCTATCTATGTGTTAAAAAAACGTTCACATATCTAAAGCATTATATTTAAATTTGTTGATCGTTTGTACAAAAGCGACAATATTATAGGTATAGAGACGCAGGTGAGTTGATTATTGAAGAACTACTGGCCAAAGGTCAAATGACCATGAGTGCCCTTGTAGGCAAGGTAACCTTACGGTTGTCTGGGACAACAGTATGTGGTAACTTTGTTATTCTGTTTTTATCGGTGAAAACAGTGACACACGTGGGATCTTACAATTAATTCAAGTACTGAACTGGTACATTTATTTGATAAAAACTTTATAAGTTTACTGTAAGGTTTTATACAGAGAAAATGGTAGAAACTCAGTTTGTCCAATGATAGAAAGATACACTTGATGTACGCTTTTTAAAATGAAACTCTTTTTCGTCAAAACATCAGTTTGCGATCCTCTATGTGAAGTTTATGAAATAAACGTATTAAATGTGTAACATAGAAAAAAAAGGTGCAGAAACTGCTCTAAAGTTCACTTTAAATTATCCATGTTTTAGAAGGATTTTTTTTTTAAATAAGACTTAATAATAACGAAAAATAATGATAACCCAATTGGATTTGTGTCTCCATGCTTAATATTTTTTAAGGAAGTTTTTAACGCCTTTCTGGAACAGATTTCACAGGAATAAAAGATAGTCGTAGAATGAATATCATGCTTACAAGAAAAAAAGAAATACAAAAATTGGAAAAAGAGTGTAATATACAGAATCACAACAATTGAGAAACATTTGTAACTTTTACCTGTAATATTTGTGATACACACACACACACAGTAGACTGCAAATGTTCCATATCTTTTAGGCCTAATGTTCGTGATGAAAATTATTCTAAACTGCAAATGTTCCATAGCTTTTAGGCCTAATGTTCGTGATGAAAATTATTCTAAACTGCAAATGTTCCATAGCTTTTAGGCCTAATGTTCGTGATGAAAATTATTCTAAACTGCAAATGTTCCATAACTTTTAGGCCTAATGTTCGTAATAAAAATTATTCTCGACTGCAAATGTTCCATAACTTGTATCATATTAACTAGCATTAATAAACACTTCAAACCTAGAACTAAATATTAGAAACAAAACTCTTAGAGACAATAATGACCTTGGCATTATTTTACAGTAAGTAATATACATGACGGCCAAACATCCGTCGGTTAAAGTCTAGCAACCCAGAAGTTTATGTCTAATAAAACAGCCAATGACACGGCAGTAAAGAGCGAGAGCAAAAGATGACGTCACAACGTATACATTGTATTTCCTTTTCGTGATGTAATCGTTGTGTAATACCTACATAAGACCTCCAACCAAAACTGTAATCTACATTAGTTAAATAAAGGCTAGTCTAGCCCAGACTTGTTATATTAAGCCTTGTAAGTATTCAATTTAAATTCGCCTTACAGCCCTGGGTTATGTTTTTACTGGAGCCCTCACTTACAACATTCGTTTTACAAAAATAACTATATAAATATATATATTGAAATTATTTTGTTGATATTTTACTTGAGACGAGTTCATTTTATTCAGATTCTAATGCTGGGTAGCATAACGTACAGGGTGTCCCATAAATAACTCCCCTGTTTTGAACTTTGATAAAAACCATTATCACTAACCATAGATAACGTTGTATATGCATCAATTTAAATATGAGGGTTTATGATATCAAAATTAATACGTAAATGTGAGGGTTGACGTTTTGAATTTTAAAGTCACATTTTTTACAGACACGATATATATATATATATATATATGCAGCGATTGGTTTCCATATTTGTCGTATGAGGACTATCAGTTAATGGGTTCACAATAAAAATAATAACGATACTTAAGATAGTAAACATTGTTTACTTATGCCAGAAGGGGACACAGATAAACGTTTCGGAATTCTCTATATCCCATCTTCAGCATCTAAAGCAAAATAATATAATTACATCATTTCTAAGTAAATAACTCAAATACATTGCTGTAACAACGATAATCTAATCAAAACTATAAAAACATAAAAATTAAATGAGTAACAAAGAAACACTATATATATTAAAATATGTGTAACTTAAACGAAGACTGCATGTTGTTCAATGTTTGATGTGGAGGGTTTCTTTAATCAGTAATTATAGATCAGTATAAATATACAGACCAAGCCGTAATTCAATTAACTTTAAAAGGTATGCTAACGAACGATGGCAAACTGAGAACAGCAAGGTTTTCAGAAAGACTGTGATGTCAGTAACTGGTGATTATTGTACTATCATTGATCCCAGAAAGACGGTGATGTCAGTAACTGGTGATTATTGTACTATCAGTGATCCCAGAAATAACTTACAAGTAATAATAATAGTAACTAATAGAACTAGTACTTATAGTAATAACAGTTATTATTAGTAATTATTACTAATTCAGATTAATGTTAATTAAGACAGTTTAAATGCTTAACTAATAGTAATAATACTCATTGTTCCTCCCAGAGTATTATTAAATTAGTCTCATAAGTTATATTTATAATTATATGTATTGACTATTAGTATTAATTGTATTATATAGATTTTAAAATGTTAAAATAGTCCAATCATGGAGGAGACAGGTTTATACTTCTAAGTTCTAGAAACTGTTCAGGATGGTTTTCTACAACAATTAGTTAGGGATCCTACTACTACAAGTACTGAGAACAATGATATTTTAGACTTATTGTTAACTTCTAATAAAGAAGTGGTTGATAGGGTGGAGATTGGAGAACATCTGGGTGGAAGTGATCATTGCTGAATTAGACTTGCTGTTTATGGAGATAAGGAATAATGAGACTTTCCACTTAATGTACATCTTCACACAGTAAAAACAAGAAAGTATCATGTTCTACCAGAATGATCCAGTACTTAATGTACATCTTCAAACAGTAAAAACATGAAAGGATCATGTTCTACCAGAATGATCCAGTACTTAATGTACATCTTCACACAGTAAAAACCTGAAAGGATCATGTTCCACCAGAATGATTCAGCACATGTCCAATCCTTAACTTCTTTCAAAACCTTTGATTAAATATTATCTGATCCAGAAGACTTATAATTCTTTGAACTTCCCAGTTTTTCTTAACAAGCTCAGAATTAATGTGATCTTCTTCTTCAGTCTTGTTTCACTCTATCTTCAACAGTTGAAGATGAGGGATATTGCTTAAATCTTCATTACCAATAATTGAAGAAAAAGCAACATTTAATAACCCAGCCATCCCATAATCATCAGATATTAGCCATTAACCACTGAAGGTCCTAACATCCTGCTTATCCTTAATGTATTTGAAGAAATTCTTATTATTAATTTTGATACTTTCCGCCAACCTTGTTTTTATATACCTTTGATTTCCCATTTGACTAACTCTCTTGATTTTATACAATCCTCTAAAATCTCCCATCATTGCAGCCAATTTAAACTTCAAATATCTATAATAATTTTAAATTTGTTCTTTATACCCTTGCGAGACAACCTTAGTTTTTTACTTACAGCCACCATTTCTTACCTATAAACAACATGCATATTTTGAGTATTTAATAACTTATCTTTAAAATTTCCATATTTGACCAGTGTCTCCAGTTAATTAGTTGTCTAATTCACAGAAAATAATTCTTATGTGCTTTTTTGAAATTTGGAACCGAAAAAGAGTGATAACTTAGATTTATTTGGTATATTTTGCGGCGTTTACAAAGTAGGTCAAAAGGAACGATTTCCATAAACGTTAAAGGGTAAAGAAAATAAGAGACAAAATATGTTTTAAAGGAAAACTTGGGTATTAATTTATAAGATTATACAAATTAAATTTGAAAACCGTAAGATAATAAATGTAGTTTTTAATCTTAAGATGAAAAGCACCTAGTCAGAATCAAACTGGCCCAGCACTTAATGTACATCTTCGCCCAGTAAAATCCTGAAAGTATCATGTTCTACCAGAATGATCCAGTACTTAATGTACATCTTCACACAGTAAAAACATGAAAGGATCATGTTCCAGCGCGGTTGACGCGCAATTTGTCTTGTACGAAGGATTAGTACCAAAACATGGTTCAAAGAGAAATAAAATAAAATAGATGTGAAAAGGATAGATGATTGAACATTTTAGAATAAATAATTGTAATTGTCTCTTAAAACCTGTAGTCATTCTACAAAGAAAAAGAGTCGTAATTTGAGTTGCTTCCATCAGCGTAAGTGTGCGGGACGGCAGAGAATAACAAGAGGCTTGACAAAAGTACTCAATTTATTGTTTTTATACATATTTATTTATTACTTAGTGCCTATAAAAGTAACTACACTGTAATTTAGAAATTTATGTTAAGTAATAAAACAGAAATTAAATACACAAATACAAATTCTAAGTGACGTCTTCACGCGAGATGCTCGTGGATTATTTACGAAGAGTATAAACTATAATGGTTGGGTATTAATATTATTGTAGTTTACTAGATGTTCATGAAGAATATTTTGTCAATACTGTATTATTTCTATTATGTTACTTCCATTAATAGGATTGTTTAGAATGTGTAAAATATCTGATTTTATTGTTTTACTTATATTTAAAATTATTTTGTACTTGTATGTTGTATCGTCTTAGGCCTAGCTTACATCTAATGCTACGATGGGCAAACCTCGTTGTAAGTTTAAGGCCTAAGGATTAAGTTGTTAACACTAACCACAGGGTTACCCAGCTGATGAAATAATTCGTTCTATTTAATCTTTATAAATAAGAATGTAAGAAAAATATACTCAATTATCTATATTCATTAGTAATTTAATTTTGTTTTCCTCTAAGTAGATAGCTTGCTATGATCAGAAGTTAATATTAATTTGAATAGTCAGAACTTTGAAAAAAGAATTGATTGGTTTACATCTGAGTGATATATGCATAGAGGTATAATGGAATGCATTTATTTTTCACTACTTTCTTTTACTCTTTAGGTCTAGTCAGAAAAGAGAAAGACTTTATTGTAATTAACCAACGTAAAAAAACGAAGTTGTGTTAACACTAACAGTGCTACAGCTAAACTGTTGACAGCTATTCTCTATGGAAAAGGTAAAGTTTAGTTTGATGAACACTGTTAATATTGTATATTTTCAGTAAGATTAAGTAATAATTGTTACCCTAAAGTTTAAATTCAAGTTTCCAGTTTCTGGACCGTACTGAAAATATGAAAGTCTAACAGTTTTCATCAATATAACACACAATCACTAGTCAATAACCTAATTGGTCCAATTCTGATTATGTACAATAAAGTTTGATAAATCTAGTTATAACGAAAAATTACAAAATTTAATGCACGATGAAAACAAAAACTCAGGACTAACCATTACCCAAGAAAATGTCTGATTTCAACAAGTCTCTCCAAAAACATTTATCTGATTATCCAGATCTTTTAAAACATCTTTAAAGGGATCAATCCTTTTCTGTCATACAAGTATGGAATATTTAAAACCCACAAAGATGACTGCCCACTTAGACCTATAATATCCAAATAGGATCAGTTACTTATCCAAGTGGCTGACACAACACTTATCTCCTGCTCTATATAAGTTCTCAACGTCACACATTCTAAATAACATAGATTTTGACAATAAAGTCAAACATAAATGAAGATAAAATGGTCAATGTTGATTCTTTGTTTACAAATGTAAACATTAATCTTTCTTAAAATAATCTTAACATCCCACTTACCTGTACCGGTTCACACTTTCATCTTCCCTTACTGACGTTATAAGCCCTCAAGGAGCTTGGAACGACTATTATAAAATAAACTGTGTTTCTCTAACAAAGAAAAGTTATACTAAAGAGGACACTTGAAACTGTCAAAACTTATTTCCATATAAACGTTTTAATTTAATTGTGTATTTAACTCACTAAAACCTTGTGAAATAAACAGAAAAACATGGCCATAGCAGAAGAGTTAAGAATAGGCTTGATAAATATTTGAATGATAAGGGCTGGGTTTGAGTTTTTAATGTTTAGTTTATTTTAGTGGATAGGATGGCCTTGATGAACCAAAAGGGCCAATGTTGTCTTTTAATGTTATGCCGTAAGTTAATTTTTCACCCAGATAAAGCACCAGTGTACAGGCAGTAACCTACTCCAGAAACTAAGATTATACTCTATGGTTAAGGTGATCAGCAGTGCCATCCAATAATTGTCAGTCTGTGATTTCTGATTGGTAAAACAGTATATTATG